ATAAGGAAAGGACGCAAAAGCGAAGCCTGGTTTGTACCGGTGCCGTTCCCGGCTCTTTCTGTGCTTTTCCCGCCCTTGTAAATCCTCCTCCCTTCCCACCCACCGCTGTCCTGCGTGGCCTTTTACGGGGAGTCCCCCGGCGAAGGAGGCCCGGTTTGAGGACGACCCCTAGTCAAGGCCGGAGCCTGTTGTAGCAAAATTCGAGTCAAGCGCACAACGGTCTCGAGGTCATTACACAATACTACTTGTGCCAGTGTTTCTCAAGCTTGGCTGCTTGAAGAGGGGTGGACTTCAACTCCCAGAATTCCCTAGCCAGCTAGCTGGCTGGGGAATTCTGGGAGTTGAAGTCCACCCCCTTCAAGCACCCAAGCTTGAGAAACAGACTTATACAACATTATACAATCCTACCATTCAGGCTTACATGCAAATTCGATTTAAGGACAGACCTTGGGAACGAAACTTGTTCTTAAACTGGGGACTACCTGTATTCTTTAAACTTCTCACCTTTCTTGCGGAGGAGGACCTGGCGAGTCCTCCTTTCTCATTCTTCCCCTTCCTTTCAACTCTCAATTAATGTACTCACTTCTCATTCATTCTCTGTTTATGACCAGGCCACCTCAGTAGGGGACTTTTGTATTCAGTCTTGTTCACTCAGCTCCCATTTATTCTTGACCAGTCTCTTGTTCTCTCCCCCCCCCCCCACCCAAAAGTCCTTCCTAAGAGGCCTATTCCCACCATATTCAACTTTTCTATTTCTCCCAACTCTCATTTGCACAAAGCAAAACAGTCAGAAGTACAGGCTGAGACATAACTATTTTTACTTCTTTCAACATTTGTTCATGAACTTCAGTCATTGAATTTCCCACTTTCTTAAATATTCTGTCGAGGTATGCATTTTTTCTCCATATCTCTCTAACATGCAGTCATTCATTATCCATAAATATGTTAAATGACCAAGGAGATGTTAGACACCTTTGTTTTATTCTATGCTAGAAGCGGAACTATTTGCAGACTGTTCTGTTTATTCTCCCCCATGCTAATTTAGCCCTCTTCCTTCTAAAATATATTTTTTTTTATTTCCATCAAAGCATGTCTTTATATTGTTAGAGTATCTTTCTCACCATCACTTTTGAGCAAGCATTGTTTTATGTGCCATTTTCCTGTCTTTCTCTTCTTTCTTCCACCAGACATCTAAAATACTTAATCTGATTTTAAGGTAGATTTTAAGCATTTATTTTAATAAGAAAATAATCAATTGTTATTCAAAAATGTTAACTCCGTAACAACAACAGCAGCAACAACAATATATTAAATTTATATGCCGCCAACTCCTAGCCACTCTGGGGAGTTAATCTTTAAAAACCCCAGTAGGCCATTTGGTCTCATCAACTGGGCGCGTGAAGTTCTGAGGCCCAGTGGAAAGTCAAGGTCCTCAGTTTGAAGAACACTGAGCTTTGCTAAAAGTAAAAGAGCTTCCAGTTGTGCAAGCTGAAGCACCCCAGATTTCCCAAATGCAGTCCCCTGTGCCCCATCTGAGGAGTCCCTAAGAATTAGAGACAGCTTTGGAGGTTTAAGTGGGCAATTTTTTCTACTGAAGCCCCCGCCCTGTGGAACATCTTGCTCCTTGAGGTGAGATTGGCCCCCACTCTTGGCCTTCCAGAAGAGCATGAAGACCTGGCTCTGTCAGCTGGCATGGGGACCCAATGGGAGTTTACAGTATTGGGGGTGGTTGGTGGCTTGAGGACTCTCTCTCCATCTTTTAGCTTTGTATATTTTTGTAAAGATTTTTATAGTTTTTTTTATCACTTTTTACTTGTAAGCCGCCTAGAGTCACTTATACAGTGAGATGGGCAGTGTATAAATTTGATTAATAAAATAAATAAAAATAAACCTTTCCCAAGTAAAGGAAAAAAAGTGAATGCAAGTTGTGCTGTGGAAGAAAAGCATCCCAGACGCTCATGTTAATGTACCATGATGGCTTTTATATTTTTCTTTCAAAAGTAAATTAAGAATATTTATATGCATTTAGACCTCAGAGGAACTATTATGTGAGGAAGTTTTCTTTTACACTTTTATATTTTGTTTGTTTAAACACATGTGTATGCTGCCACATTAAAAAATGACCCTTGGACATAGGAAAGTCAATATAACCCCCCCCCACACACACACACACAACAGCAATGCTACAGGAAGAGAAAGAGAATAAGTGATGGCACCAGCAACTCAAATCGGGGGAAGGCTCTCTGAAAAAGCTCCATCTTTAGAACCTTGTAGAGAACCAGGAGAGTTTCCCTGCCTCCCCGACCTCCGTGGTGAGGATACATGGAAGTACATCCTGTGTTCTCATTGAAAGAGGCCTGGAGATGAAAGCAACATGGGCGCCAGTTTCACTGTTGTATAAGTAGCAGAGTGTGAGATTCTTCAGGGCAGGTACGGTAGGTCTACGTGTAGATGAGGCAAGAAAGGTTTGAAATGGGCCTGCTCCCTCTCCAGTATGATATACAGGTATACACACCCAGTGTGCGTATTCTGTAGCTGTCTAGACAAGACCATGGTTTTGCTATCAGGTGTGGTTCTTCCACTTTGAGGCTGAGGTCGAGTGCATACACGTGAGCATTGAAGAAGTTTGTTTCCTAGGCTCTGTAACCCATTATGTGGCATCCTTCTGTTGCAACTTGGCAGAATTCTTAGGGCAGTGTTTCTCAAGTTGGTGTTGGTGATCTCCAAGAGTCTATCCGATCTCATGATCCAGTGGTTCATATGGAGCACTCTCTACATTTGGTGTGGGTGTATCCACCCAAGAAGTAAAAGGCTGTCAAAGAGGTGGGCTGCTAATATTAAGCCCCTAATTATTAGTATGATTTGAACAACTGCAAAAACACTAAATAAGCTGTCTGCTTTATTTTTTAAAATGGCAGCTGGTGTTTGGCAGATATTTAGGTCAATGTCATTAAGTGATATATTTCCTTTCTTTGTCATGATACTCTTGGTGGTAACTCATAACTTCTAATTATCTTAATAAGGCTTACTTGAATTGGGTTTCAGAACTTGTTTTTGGCATGGAAGCCACTTTGGGGCCAGAGGATAATGTGGCACATTAGTAATTACTCTTCACCTGTGTAATACTGGTTGCTTTGCCACACCTTTATATCTGAAGCCCCTGGAGAGTTTGTCAGAAGGTTAGGTCAGGCCTTCGTAGCATTTCTCCCTCAGCTGAATCAGATGAAGTGATAGAAATGTTGGCGTTGAAACCAGGAGAGGGCCAACGTTCTTCCTCCCAAGAGCCTCGACCCCACTTTTCAATTATGGCATAAAATGCTTTTTCTAGCTTAAGCTGGTGTATTAGATAATTTTTTTTGGACTAGGCATGACATGACTGCGGTGTCCTGCATACTGATAACTTTTCCTCATGATCTGTTGCTTGGACCACTGCCCTTGCAGTTGGCATAGAAATGGGAGCTATCAGAGCAACCCAGTTCAGTGGGTGGTTCTGTAGCTCTACATATGTTAAAGAACCACCTCAGTTTGCCTGGATGTTGAGATTTTTCACTAAGATCTTTTTCATGATATTCTTATACAGTTGGAGAAGCCCCACTAATACTGCGGATTAGTTCTTTGCTGCACAGTCTGTTCTGTGGTGTAATGTCCAACTCAACACTGTTGACTGTTCCTTGATCTAGTCATGATAGTTCTAGATATAATGCAGCGAATTATTCTTGTCTATTAGTAAGTGAAAGATTCCTGAATTAATGAAGCTGGAAAAAGCAATTATGTTCCTGTGTTAAATAATAGTTTTGGATTTTGGCAGTTGGCATACTTCCAGGAATGTAGCATTTGGTTCTAATGCCTTAAAACCTCTGCTTTGTGCCCGTTGTACCTGGTGTTTGTGTTGAGTCTGATGCAGAAGGCTGGCAGTGTTGACTTTCAGGTTCTTAAATGTGCTGAGTGATGCCTAACAATGATCAGTCCAGTTTGTCTGAGTTAATTGAGCTGAAACAGTCAAATCTGGAAAGTAAGCAAAGTTTCTCTCCTGCCCTGCCATTTGTGTGGAATGTGTTTTAGAAAACCTTCAGTAGGTTCTGCCGCTTGCCCCAAAAGGCTGTTGGTGTTAGTAGAACCTGCTGGGTGTGTTGCACAAGGTAGAAGCAGCACAAGCTCCTGTGGGATAACCATTAAAGATAACAAGCTTTCTAAGGTTCTGGTGGAACTGCAAATACGCCAGCCTCAACTCCATCGCTGCTGTGCTTGGCCCTCCTGTTAATAGGCTGTCCTGCTCCTGAGCTCTGTGTTTCAGCTGGTTTGACACTGTGGCCTATCAAGCTTGAGCTGAGATGATGCGCTTGAATGGTGACCTTGTGGAATTTTAATAAGTAACTCAAGCTGTTGAACATACCCAATACTCCTTCCTCCTCCTGTATTCCCCACAACAACAACCCTGTGAGGTGGGTTGGGCTGAGAGAGGACTGGCCCAAAGTCACCCAGCTGGCTTTCATGCCTAAGGCGGGATGAACTCACCGTCTCCTGCTTTTGAGCCTGGGGCCTTCACCACTAGGCCAAACTGGCTCTTGAGCCTTCCTTATGCTACCCCCAGGCAGCCCCAGGCCCATTAACCTGCTTTATTTGTTTTTAAGGGTTTTTAATTAATATAATATAATTTTATAATAATGCAGTCCAGATGTTGCAATTACCATGCTCCAGCTAAAAGCACATTAAAAGGCTTCTTTGATAATTGCTATATCTCCTTACCTGGAGCTCCAGTGTACCAAAAATCAGGAAGAACCCAAATCTTTCCTTCAAAAGGTGCACGTTTCTGAGAGTTGTAATTCTAGGGGTCAGATAGACCACGGCCAAACATACATACTGAGGATCTAGCATCAGGTGTCCCTCCCCTCTTGCAGTGGTGTGTGGTAATGTTGTGCCTGCTTTTCTTTTTTCATTTATGGGGAGGGAAGTCTGTCTTTGGACTAGCTTCAGAGATCTGGTGTTGATCTGTAAGCCCCTTGGTGGCTTGGGACTTTTAAGACCAGGAGGAGTGTCTCTTTACATTTGTTCCTGTCTGCCTCTTGAAACCTTCTGGACATCTACTGAGGTGCAGTAGACACCTCCAAGCGAAAAGGACTTCTCAGTAGGGGTGTACCTGTGCAGGCAGGGCAATTTACGTGTTGCCTGTTTCCTGGAGAGCTGTATTGGTGCCACAATCAAATCTGTGTCTGGTTAAGATCTCAAGAGAAGGCCTGTTGAGAGTCATTCCCCCATCTCCAAAAAAGTGTTATGGGCCCAGCCTGGATGGCGGGGCTTCTTTGTGGTAGCCCCCACCCTTTGAAACACCCTCTCCGCAGAGGTCCGCATGGCTCCTATACTGCTTGTGTTCAGAAACAAAATCAGTACTGTTCCAGTGGCCCTTGGTCTTGGTTCATTACAAATGGTCATCAGAGGTATTACGGTTTATATGGTTGGTTGGTTTTTTCTTTTGTATACAATAGTTCTTATATTTACGGTTTAAATTCTTTCTTTTTAGCCACCTAAAGTCCTTGCAGATTTGGGCAGAATATAAATTTTTAAATTTTATATATATGAATATTTATACATACGCATATACATATACATACACACACACACACACACACACACGTATACATACATGCATGCCCTTATGGCATTAGGTTAGCGTTTTCATTTTCCTAGGCCTTTTAAACTTTGCTGTTTTAAAGAAGGTTGTACAAAGTACTTGACACCCTGCAATGGAAACTACAGGTCACGTTCAGATATAGACTTGCTGTTCGTTCTGAAACCTTGTTTAAATCAAACAAACAGAATGTGGTTTTTAAATGAGATTTATCTGTCACCTCAGTGTGGGTGGATTCTAGGCAGTAGATAAATTCAATAAACTATGGTTTTAAAAAATCCTAGCTTAGTAAAGTGAGCGAGTATGAAAGTCTGAGATGTGATTTGAATGCCGTGCTATGTAGATGTTTCTCCTTTTCTTTACCAGCCAAATCAAGTAGGAAACTTACTTTCCTATACTTGGCTAATGATGTTATCCAGAACAGTAAGAAGAAGGGACCTGAATTTACAAAGGAATTCGAATCTGTGCTCGTGGATGCTTTTTCACACGTTGCCAGGTAGGTATTGTAGCACCTCCCTCGCTTATATATACAGATATGTATATCTTTCTCTTTCTCTTTCCACAGATTGAAGAGATTTTTAGTTTAATTTGGGGGGCTCTCTATACAAGCTGTGCCGGCTACCAGAAACACAGTCTGCATTACTGCTTCTTTCCATGCGAATAGCCGTGTTGCTGTTTTGAAGGAAGGAATCCAAAGGGAGGTGGGTGGAGGTTGCGGGGTCTTCTCTTCCTGCTGAAATGTCGATGGCCTGTTCTGTTTGAGCTTTCTCTGAAATGCTCTTTTGTCCACGCTACAGTAGACGTGGGAAGGGGGACAGGCTTGCTGAACGTGCATGTCTGTGTGTGCATTTGCTTTTGCTCTCATTGCATTTCCCATATTCTGGCAGACCAGGTTGACACTGTAAGGTGCAGGTTTTAGGGAGGGAGAGGGTACATCTCTCTCCAGGATCACAAGGTGCACTTGACTAGAGCTAGGCCCTGATTAAACCCTTTTCCTTCCTCCCCTCAATGATTCGTATATATTGGCATTCATTCATTCATTCATTCATTCATTCATTCATTCATTCATTCATTCATTCGGTATATTTATATAGCCTCCCATCTCACATACGTATGTGACTCTGAGCGGTGTACAAAGTTAAAAACACAAAACAGTACAACAAAATAACCAAAAATAATCACAAGAATCTTTTTGACTATCAACCATGTAAATTTGCTGCTGTTTGCCATAAAATCACAGATATGTTTTGGGGAGCAATCCCTAATTCCTTTAATTGTTTCATTTCTTCTTTGGCATCCAGTCAGTCTTCCCTTTGGCAAAAGCGTGATTGTGTCCCAGTTGCAATTCTTTTCCAGGGAGGGGAGCAGTGGACCGCTGCGTGTTCAGGTGATGTCATGAAGGATCTGTAGTTGCATTCTTTATGATGGGAAGAAATCCATGTGAAATGTTGGGGAAGAGTGGGGGAGAGAGGGGGATCCACTGGAACAGACCAGTTAACACACAGCTGGTAAAGTCTCTTATTTTTACACAGATGCCATAAGCCATGAAAGAGCTTGCTTTATACAACCTCACTTTTGCTTCCTGGAATTTTACCTTTCCGTACATCATAAAATGTTTTTGGATTTCAGCAAATTTACCTCCCCCTTGATATGTTTGGAGAGTTATAAGAGTGGCAAACAGATTACCAGTGCAAGTATTCCCTTTACAAATATCCATATGCTTCCTTCAGATCCCAGTTGGCAGTTTTGCGCAGTTGTTAGTTATTCCACATGCCTTGGCTCTATCTGAACACGATTTTAAGTGAGGTCAGCGTCTCAAGTGCTGGGGATTTATCAGATTTTTTTCCCTTTCCAGATTGTCTTTCTGCTTGGCTTGTTCCATCTGTCATTGGGTGACTGTTCTCTCACTGTGGGGCAAGCTATAAATGAGCAGCTCCGTGTCATTTCCTGGCATCTAATATATTACTAGCTAGTTAAAGGCTGTGACGTTATTTAGAGAAGACCTGATGCCTGCAGAGGGATTCTATCTAGAACAAGAGGGAAAAGAATAGGAAAGCGTGTTCTGGGGAGCTCCTTCCCAAGCTGGTGCCCTCCAGATGTGTTTGACTATCAGGCCCCTTGGGGACGACAGATGTTGTCCAATGCATCAGGAAGATGGGGTTGGGGAAGATTGCTCTGTGTTTGATTTCTTTTTCAGTTGATTAGATACGCTTGTAACTTTGAAAGCACTTAAAAAAAAAGGGGGATAGGTGTCTGTTATTCATAGCAGGTGTACAAATGGCCATATCTCTTGGCTGGTTCAGGTTGCATGGCTACGGTGCCTCTCACACCTTTATGGAAGATGAGGAGCAGGGCAGGCCCAAGTTCTCATTGCCACTGACATCCCAGTGCTTGTTCCTTGCCCTGCTTTTTAACCAGCTGCTGACCTTTTTAACCCTTTGACCTTCAAGGGAGGCAGATGAGGGCTGCAAGAAGCCCTTGGAACGATTGCTGAACATCTGGCAAGAGAGGAGTGTGTATGGCAGCGAGTTCATACAGCAGTTGAAACTGTCCATGGAGGACTCCAATAGCCCCCAACCCAAAGGTAAATTATATGCTCATTTTTCAAAACTGTTTTGATTACCACTCTGAACTATCATGAAGTAAGAGCTTGCTCCTTAACAAAATATGGTCTGTGCCAGTGGACTTCGAACACATTACAGGTAGTCCTCACTTAATGACTGTTTGTTTAACGATGGTTCAAAGTTACAGTGGCCTTGGAAAAAGTGCTTTATGACCTGTAATCGCACTTACGACCATTGCAAACCATTGCCCTCACGGTCATGTGATCGTGATTTGCGGCCTTTTTTACAACTCTTGTTAAGCGAATCACTGTGGTCATTAAGCGAATCACCACGGTTGTTAAGAATTTGTTTAAAACCACTTGGTTTTAAACAAATTCTGGCAAAAAATGTCCATTGGGGAAGTTGGATTCGCTTAACGACTGCGTGATTTGTTTAATGACCATGTGATTCACTTAATGACATTGTAAAATGGTCGCAAAATTGGGTCTGGTCATGTGGTGACTTCCTTAACGACCAATTTTCTGGTCCCTGTTGATGTTAAGCGAGGACTACCTGTAATGGATTTCTGTGAATTGGCAGTATTATTGAATATACAACTTAAGCAGTTCAGTTTTGCATCCTCTCTGCTTAGGTTCCAATGAACTGTATAGTGGTTCTGAATGTGGAACCCAGTCTCCTTTTGGATAGTGTATGTCATCCTGGGTGGATTTCTAGGTCCTGACAGGCAGCACCTAAGACTGTCACGGCCAAGCGGTAAACTAGAGATCAATTGGTGATGGATTCCAAGGGTTAAATTCTGAATTGTTGAACAAAGCAACAAAATGTTTTTTCCACCAAATTTAGGTGGAAATAAAGAATCGAAAATTTACAATAATTTTCATGTGAAAGGAACTGTGAGTTTAATTGTGTCCTAGGCCAGAATGTGCTCGGGTGCTGGCCCCTCATGAGAAGGCATGACTCTAAGAAAACCCACTCTGGTTGGTTGAGAAAGGAACGAACCTGGTTTTATGTTTGCACAATGAACCTTGGAAACTTCCTGTGGTTAGTTTAAGGGTTATACCAAATTTAGGAGAATCTTGTATGCTTTGTTTAGCTGTTCCCACTGCCAGAAGAGCCAAGTGAGAGTGGCTGAGGCACATGGACCCCATCATGTTCATCCATGGTTCTGTAACATACAACTACTCTGCTATATGTCTTCTTCATCTGCTGATGGTTCTTGGGAGAGTAAAATGAAAACACAAATCCCAAACATGCCTATAAGCCAGGTAGAATTCTAAGAGCAGAGGAAGTTGCTATAGAACAAATGGGAATTCTGGCCACTCTGAATGAGCATTGCAGGCCAAATTTTTCATGCTACCTTCTACTTTTTAGCAGCAAATTGACCCTGGGACTTAAATTAGACATCAGAACCACTGGCTCCTGCTGTAATCTGCTTAAACAGCTTTCAGTATGTCTGGGGATCTAGTAATGAAATATCTGATGGTCCTCAATTGCATTTGCCTGCCCCCCAACATCATTTCAACCATAGATAGGAACCAAAATCTTTGCAGATGATGAAGAACTGATAGTGGCTTTTGGGATGTGAATGGATTGGTGATGGACACTTGACAGTGATAACTTATAAGCTGTCATGTGACGTTCACTGAGTCTCCCTCCTAAGACAGGAGTGGGAGGTCGCAAATTTAAAGTCTGGCGTGTGTATGTGTGTGGATCGCCTTTGCCATCTAGTGCAGCTTTGGAGCTATGGAGGCACCAGGCTGGGAAAGGTTGGTCTAGAAGGATACCTGCTATGGTGCTGAGGCTCTTTGTTTCCAAAAAGTGAGATGTGAGAGAGCACTTTCCAGATGTGCTATCCTCTGCAGTACATCTGTCAGTCCAGTAATGCTTGAGAGAGAATGGTGTTAGAACATCTGGCTTTCCCTGTTCTGTTGGTGAAAGGCGAAGCTGCCTGCTTCAGGAGGCCTTCCGTTTGTGCTCTGGAAGTCAGCCAGGAACACCAAACCTTTTTGTAGATGGTGGCAGCAGATGCTCTGTGGCCAGCTTGTGCTTTGTCTTCCCCTGGTGCTGCCAGTTGCTGCTTCCCTTCTAGGCGTGGTTTCTGACATCCCTTGTCCTGCAGCTGTTAGCCATCTGCATCCACATTTACACCTGCAAAAACATCCAAATTCTCATGCAGTTTTGGGGGGGCGGGTGTTGTGTTCTGGGTGATCCTGAGGCTTAAAATAATGACGGGAAGACTCACCTGCTCATTTCTCTGGAATTTCCAGCTCCCTGTGTGTCTCTTTGTGTTTTCGACAATGGGGAAAATTGCAGGTAGCTGAAGTTGCTACCTCAAGATTACTCCAAGCATGGTTGTATAGCAGTTTCAGCAGGAGGAATCAAGAGGTTCTTCTGCTCTTTCTCTCTAGAGTTGGTACTGGGCTGAAGCAATTCCTCCCTCTTTTTGTCTCCCCCGCTCCCTGCCACCCATCCCTCAAGGAATACCTTCCTACCTGCTGTGTCCTGTTATCTTATGCAGGTGAACCCAACACTGGGTTATGGAGCTGAAGTCCAACAGTTGATTTGACGCAGTTGTGCAGAGATCTCTTTGATCTTACTTGGTCTTGACTCTTGGCCATGAGAGCTTTGCAATGTCTTATTGCAGGGTTTACGTAGCCCTAATAAGGTTTGATTTTGGTTGGGGACTCTGTATAAACCCAGCCAGTTGTGGCTTACTGAAACTATGGTTTGAAAATCATGTTGTGCAGTGCGTGGATGCTCTCAAGCTGGCTGGTTTTCAAGTGGAGCACAGCAGGTACATCCTTCTGATCTCTGATTTCTCTTTCAAGTGCTTTCATGAGAGAAGTAAATATCATCCATGCTTTGCCTTGAGCATATTATGCCTGAAATCTGCTCAAATAATGGGCAAGACACCAGTGCCAGGCTTGCATTGGAAAGTTCCATGGCACAAAACTGAGTTTCTGATGTTTCTGGATAAGGAGAGCCTGTGCTCCTTGCAGCTGTACGTTTGCTGGTGGTTTTTTTTAACGCAGTGTTGAAGTGAGCATGGAGAAAAAGAAACAGCATATTTTTCTCCTTTCTTAAGAAAGGAACCTAGCAACTCAATCAGATCCATGGCCACTGAACTGTGTGAGGTTGACTTGGCGTACATCTTTGGGGGGGGCTCACACTATTTTGCTTCGTTTTCAAATCTGCGCATTTTTCATTTTCCAAAGAAAATGTTAGAGCCCCTCTTTGCTCTGGATCTGCTGAGCAGAATATGGCTTCTGGGCATGAAAGGCATGTTTTGTTCTCAGTTACAGAGGAGAAGAAGTCCTTGAAGCGGACGTTTCAGCAGATGCAAGAAGAGGAAGATGATGATTATCCTGGAAGTTACTCCCCACCGGACCCCAATGCTGGGCCCCTCCTGGTATGCTGGGAAGATGGGAGCCCGGAGCAGTGCATAAGCCCCCCCTTGGAGAAACAGCCACAAGCCACGAGGTGGCGCCATTAGCAAGTGCAGTAGGGCCGATAACGTCGTCGCCTTCCTTTCTTTCCACCTTCTTCTGTCTGGTGCCCTCCAGATGATTGGACTTCAACGCCCTTAATTCTCAGCCAGTGTTGGGCCCTGACGCTGACAGGGAGTAATAGGAGTTGGCTGAAGACACCTGGAGGGCAGTGGAACAAGGAGAAGGTGCTTTGTTCGCTGAAAACAATTGGCCCTTAACTGAAGGGCTGTTTCATGGCATTGCTCCACTCCATGCTCCAAGTTAAATAAATAAATAAATAAATAAATAGCTAGCTAGCCCAAGATAGGGCTCTGTTACAAGCAGCAGGGTGTGATTTGCTTTGGGCAGGAGCAGCGGATTCTGGGAAGCACGTCCTACTCCATTTTCTTCTCCTGCTAAGCCCCTGGGCTGCCTGCTCTGAGGTCCTTTGGCAACTGCAGTTTGCTTTCAGGGGACGTTTGACAGAGTAGATAACTCTGGGCAGGTTGGCCCCAATCACTCTGTGGAGGGAAGAGGGGTGTTTTGCAAGGGCTGAACTTGTGATAGAAGGCAAGCTGTGGAAAGCTGCAGCCTGGGTGGGTGAGGAGTGAGGGCAGCAGAGCCCTGTCCTGGGATTTCTCAGAAATAACAGAGGGCAGAGTTTCAGGAACAGGTGGGAGAAGCACAGCTGTCTGCCGGTTGCTTGTCTGGCTGGCTGCTCCACGGTTCCTGGTGCATCTGTATCTTGCTGCAGCAAAGCCTTTAACCCACCACGGTCTTGTGGCACCGCCTCCCTGTAAAAGGGCAAAGCGCTTGAAAGGCCACAGGTGTTTCTTTGAAGTAGAAGAGCAGCTTTATTTTGCTCTACAAGTTTTGCTGCAGCTCTTGGACGGGTCTCTTAGGCTTCCCAGGCTGGTGCTGCGGCCTTAGATCCTTTTTTCTTCATGGAGGAGGACTCATTTTGCAGATTTTGGACTTCAAAGGGATGCCATTCAAATTAGGGATCTGTTTGTAGGAGAAGATTTTGAGAAGCATAAGTTCTGCCTTGAATTGTCAACGCATGCATCTGGCATTTCCCAGCCTGGTACCCTCAGAAGTGCTGGCTTTCCACCTGTGGAAACGTGGCCTTTGCGTTATTGGAGCGGAAATCAGCACTCCTGAACAGCAGGCAGGGGAAGCTCTGCTATTGCTTGCAAAACGTTGGATATAAAGACCTTTGGACAAAGGAGTTGAGCAGGCCAACCGGGTCTTTGATCACCCTTTCTTGTTTAAATATTAGAATGGTACTTCCCCCCCCCCCCCCCTGCCCAGGCCAACCGGGTCTTTGGTCACCCTTTCTTGTTTAAATATTAGAATGGAACTTCCCCCCCCCCCCCCCTGCCCAGGCCAACCGGGTCTTTGGTCACCCTTTCTTGTTTAAATATTAGAATGGAACTTCCCCCCCCCCCCCCCTGCCCAGGCCAACCGGGTCTTTGGTCACCCTTTCTTGTTTAAATATTAGAATGGAACTTCCCCCCCCCCCCCCCTGCCCAGGCCAACCGGGTCTTTGGTCACCCTTTCTTGTTTAAATATTAGAATGGAACTTCCCCCCCCCCCGTCTCTCTAATGTATTCTTATAAGCAAGCTATCAGTGGAGCGAAAGTTCACCGAATTCAGAATGAGCATCTGGTTCGATCTCCCCTTTGTGTCAGCAGGACTTGGGCAGAGCTGTCCTGACAGAGGGCACATTCTACTTGGGCCCTGCCAGTTGGGGACAGTCTAGGTCCGCCCCGTCTCTGATCTGCCATAAGTTTCTAGGAAGGCCACACTTGCCCCAGGGGTTGCTGGCCCTGGACACAGCAGCCCCGTTTCTGCTGCCCAAGGCGGTGCCAGTACTGCCTTGTGCAGGGACTCATGATCTGATTGTGAGATGTGAAACCATTTCTAAAGACTCCTGAGCACATGCTCAGCACTGCTAGTGTTTTATGGACTAATACTAGCGAAATTATAAGCCTCAAAGAGCTGATCAAGAAAACCTAAACTGAATTCTTAAACATAGCTGCTTCCCTGGTTCCTCAGATGAAGGTTTTAGCAAGCGTTGAGCTAGGCACCTGTTCCAGTTCCAAGCACATAAAGCTTGGCTGAGGGTCACCTGGGCTGGTGTTCTGTGCAATCAGAGAGAGTTGGTGCTCCTGTGGTTTATTCTGCCCAGGCAGCCAGGGGGATTCTTGGGGATGCCAGCAAAGCAATCTGCCATCAGAGGCCTTGGTACCTTTGTTCCTCCTGGCAGCACAATCCTAGCTGAATGTTACACTCAGAGGCCCCCGCGGGTTGGGAGCCCAGGAGAGCTTTTGGATAGGCATCAGAAGTGGCGGGGGGAGGCTCTGAGAAACAACAATGGCTGTCTTTTTCTGTCTCAACCGGGCAGGCAGAGGACTTGATCAAAGCCCTGCAAGATTTGGAAAACGCAGCATCAGGAGATGCCACGGTGCGGCAGAAAATTGCTTCTCTTCCCCAGGAGGTTCAGGATGTGTCACTGTTGGAGAAGATTACAGGTGAGTCTCTGAAGGGCCAGAACCGGTCGGCTGAGAAGCCCAAACATACTCGGTGGGCGCTAAGAGAAATCAGGCTGGGCTGATGGATTCTGAGTGTGAGATTTTTAGCTGGGAGATGAACAGTAGTGTGTGTGTTCACAGAGCTTTTCTGTTGGTTTGGTTCAGGATAATTTGGAGGCCGCCAGCTTGTACCTTCACTCCTTGTTCTGTGTGCCTCACTTCCCCCTTTTGGGAGAACCTTTGTGCACTGAGACCCAGTTTCCCATCCCATCCCATCCCAGAATAACAAGGAGTTACCCCATAAAGGGAGCCCCACAAGGGGTGCTGAGCTGCTGTGTCAGGTGAATGCGCCTGGGGCCCTGGGCATCATCTGACTGGAGGCTTTTCTGACCTCCAGAGCCCTGTTCTCTTCTGCTTGGTCTTTACAAGTGGGAGGAGGACCGCGGTGCTTGTAACAGTACCAAGGCAGAGGAAGCTGCAAGAAGTGCTGCAGTCTATAGACACCTCCCCCCCCCCCACCTTTCTCTGGAGCCATTTTAGCAGTTGAGTCCATTCTGACGGCGTTTCAGAAAGCCCTTCTGCCGGGCTCCAGACCATTGTACTTTGGTGGTGTCTCTGTGTACAGCACTGCAGCAGGTAGCTTAGCGTGGGCCAGCAGGCACAAAGGGCCAGGCGGGTTCCCCCAGGCCATGCCCGGCCCTGGCTTCCCATTCCCGATGGAGACGGAGCTGCCCTGGGGCCCCTAGTCCTGCATCTCTGCCCTCAGGCATTTGAGCACTTGGCTTCGTGTGGAAAGGAAACCACCCCCACTTCAACTATTTCATTTGTGTTGGGAGGTGCCCATGGTTTTATTTCTCAGGCTTTGCTTAAAGTAGAGAATCCTTGACCAGGACTGCAAAGCCTTCCCTTGGTTGGAGTCATTCACCCGAGATGAATGGCTGCTAGCGGGTAGCTGCTGCTTGTCGGCGACACAAAAGGTGTTGTGCGGCCTCATTGTAAATTGTTTACTAATTTTGTACACAGACAAAGAGGCAGCAGAGCGCCTTTCGAAGACTGTGGATGAGGCGTGTTTGCTACTCGCGGAGTACAATGGGCGACTAGCAGCGGAACTGGAAGACCGGCGCCAGCTGGCACGCATGTTGATCGAATACACACAGAACCAGAAGGATGTGCTGACGGAAAAGGAGAAGAAGCTGGAGGTGAGCATTGCTCAGCATCCACCCTTCTTGCCTCCTTAACGCTCAAGGCGAGGGTTGCCTCGGGGCCGGGTCCTGCCTGGAGCAGCTGTATCTGCGCTGTAGGAGAGCAGAGCGTCCCCACTCCTCCTAGGAGCACGTGGGTGTGGTGAAACTCTGGCTGCTTGAAGTGCGGGTGGGCCACATTCTGTGAGACACTTCTAGGATCTAAGCCCCACCATCCCACAGGGAAGAGCTGGAGTCAGAATCCCAGCAGCATAACGGGGCTAAAATCCAGCAATCCACAGGGTTGTTTCTGATTGGGGTGGGGCCAACTTAATGTTCAAGGACACTTCCTTTGGCAAGAAGGGAGTCCTAAAGGCTGTCTCTTCGGGCCCCTTGGCTTATGGACAGGGAAGCTGTTTATGAACTAGATAAGAGGGCTTGCTGCCCCTTTTTGGGTCGATGGGTTGCCCACAAGATTGAAGCCCTGATTGTGCTTGATTGACCGGACCTGTCCGTGTGGGTGGTAGCACAGCTGCCTTTTCTAGAAGCGGCTTAAACTGGAAGGAGCTGCTATGAATAGACTTTGGCTGGGAACGGAATTCTGCTGTGGGCGGAAGGTAGAGGCAAGCGGGATAGGGCATCACCAAGTCATTTGTCTGAAACGGGCCACTTCCAGTCAGGGAGCCTGGTCTGCATTGCACTTTGGGGCTGATACGGGAGAATAATTAATGATTCTGCTTGCATGTCCCTCTGCCATCTGTTGTGTTGTCCCTTGGCAAAGTGGTCAGAGCCGCCCCTTGCTGTCAGGCGTTGACTGTTTGGAGCAGATGTTCTTGAGGGACATGGCGCGATGACAGATGGCAAGAGTTGACCAGGAGGAGATGCAAATGCTTCCTAGAAGCCGCCGTTTGCTCTTGTTGTTCAGTCCTCTTTCCTCCTTCCTCGTCCAGGCCTTGCACAGAGCTTTGCAGATAGACAGGTGCGTTCATTTTGGCCCTGGTTGAGAGTTGGAAAATTGTATTCTGTGGCCGCAATTTCAGTGGGCTTGTTTTTCCGTAGTTGGCTTGTTCAAACTGGGCAAAGCGGTTCCTGGGTTTGGAAAGTCACAGCTCTGGCACAGTTGTGGAACGGATGCTCCGTGCTGGAGATGGAACCGCCATCTTCCCCAGGGCACCTGGTGGTTTTGGCGAGGCCCAAAGGCCCACTTGCCATCCTAACCCTTTGGTCCTCAGCCTGTAGAACCGGTGAAGGTACCAGGACGCGTCTGTTATGGGATGGGTGCGCTGCAGGCATTAGCAGACCAGGATTTATTTTGTCAGGCTGGTTAAGACCTGACCAAATAAGGTCAGCGGCTGGATATCTTGTGATTGTTCCAGATCTTCCAAGTAACTTTTCAGCGCTCCAGTTATTAAAATAGTAAATTCTTGTCTCTGGGACCAGAGCTGGCGATCTAAATGCTAAAATTCAAATTTAGAGGCTATTGACATGATTGTTCATTGGCCGTGGCAGAGTGCGAATCGGTGTTATTCCCATAAAGGGCCCACGTGGACGCATCGTGTCCTGTTGACCACGGAGGCCTGAAATAGCGCTGCCCCTGAATGCTGAGCCCCTGGCTGGGGTCCCTTTCCCAAGGCATGATCCTGCCCGAGCTCACCCCCAGCTTGGTGGGGGGCTGCCAAAGAGCAGTTCAGGAACTCCAGCCATTTTCACTGCTGCAGAAGGGAGCGTCCTGCGATGCACTACAGAGGGAGTGAAGAGGCATGTTTTGTCTTTTGAGTGGCTCTGGGTTGAAAAGGGCATGTTCAGGACATGCTGGAAAGGCTGAGCTCTAGTTTGCTGTTTGTGCAAACAGCACAAGCAGATCAGGAAGAATGTGAGATAGCACACCCCGCTGTAGGCACTCACCAGAAGGAGTAAGAGATAATGTCAGTTGATTGATTCATGTGTGTGCCGTGCAACTCCCCCTTTAGCAATAATATTTGTTGGCTTCCTACGCCCTTTTTGTAGTGCAGGATGCAAGACAACCCAAAGTGCATCTTTTAATCTGCATCTTCAGAGAAGTGTTTAAAATATTAGGCTTAGCTAGTCTGCCATGAAACTCTGCAAAAGTTAACCACAGTGCTTTATTTTCTGCAGGAGTTGGGTGAGAACAGAGCCAGGGTGACTGGAGGATAGAGAATACCGAGCAAGGAGGAGGCTGAGGCACTGCGACAGGGTGGGAGTGGGAGATAGAAATGACAGGAGGGAAATTAAAAGGGACAAGAAGGCACATGTTCTAGATGAAGGGGCTTTGGGTAACTGAACATAAAGTCACTGCGCCAGCAACTGCTGATAGCTGCTCCACCCCTGTTAGTTTGAGAAAGATAACAGCTCTGAGTGGAGTGTCAAATCCGTATGGTGGTCTGATTGTTTAAAGGAGTGGGTTATATTTATAGCTGGGTCTTTAAAAAGTCAAAATTCTCCTTTCGGTTATGTTGGAACGGAGCCTGGGTGTAACACCTGTGTTTGCAGTGTTTGTCAGACACGTGGTACGTGTTGCCTTTATTAGCGGCGCTTAATTTCTTGCTTCAGCTGAATCTTCCCTTTAAGTTGCTTCCTTTTAAGGGGATTGTGCATCTTCTGTGGATGGAGACCAACTATTTTAGCAGTCTGGGAGTCAGGGCAAGGAATCAGTCGTTGGTTGGTGGATTGATGCCAATGTGGTTTCTAGTGATCTCTGTGTTTTCTGTAGTTGGAAATTTTGCTGATACACTGAAAGACTCGGGTCTGACAACCGCTTTTCCTGTGTGTTGCTGGCTATCAACTGAATCTGGGGGAAGAGAGGCCCTCAGAATATGGCTGTGCACTTAACGTGTGTCCCGCAATCATTTCCATATCTAGTTGAAGAATTGCACAAGAGCATGTAACACGTTTTTCTTGAGGGTAAATACTTAAATAACGCCTGTGATGTGTGGACGCACCTTAATTTTTTTCTTTTCCCCTTCAGTCTCTTATAATGGCATGGCAGCAACCCAGCTCAGGAGGGGAAATCGCAGAAGCACCGTAGAGCTGATGGTGCCGTGCTTTAGTGTGACTTTCTGCACTCACTAGCTCTGCTCCCTCGGTCAAAATGGAGTGACGCTCCTCTGCTCCAACCTCACAAGAGCCTCTTGATTGAGGCTGGATCCAGAGCAGCCTTCCCGGACCCTCAGCGTGGCCCTGCTTCTGGGGCACCCCTTAAGAATAGCGCAGAATTGAACGGGATCTTGAGGTCATCTGCTCAGGATAGGAGAGTCGTCACTTGGATAGGGTGGTCCAGCCTCTGTTGAGATATCTATCTAGGGTAAAGGAGAGCCCACCACCCCAGAGGAGGCTGGCCCATTATCAAACCCTTTGAAAGTTTCTTGTACGGTTTAGCTGAAATCTCCTTTTCAGCCTTGGAATGAGGGACTACTTAAGCAGTAGGCCGAAACCCTCTGGGACCTTGAAATATTCAGGTGGAGGGGAGTTGGCAGTTGGCTTAAGCCAAAAGACAAGGCAAAGCAGCCTCCAGTTTTCCGAGTAGGGATGGGTGTTTAAAGTGTCTTCTCCTGGGAGGAGCTCCTCGGACTGGGTGGTGAGCAGAGAGGAGCTTAAAACAGGCCTTTCACGACCTGCCTTCTCCTCCCCCTTGAGTCAGCCCACCAGCTCCTGCCCTGCACTCCCCAACCATTTACACTCTACGAGATGAGGAGGAAGAGGCTGACCCATTCGGGTCCAATCTTAGCCCTGGACACTCTCTGGGTAACTCGCAGTAGGTCACCCTCTCTTACCCTGGGTGAAATTGCTGCATGGTGGCTATTGTGAGGAGAAGCAGGGGCAGGGAGCTCTTGGAGAAAAGACAGAACGCAAATTTAACCAACACATAAAAGTAAAATCCTTGCTGTTGTTTTAGATCCGTTGTGTCTGATTTATTCCTCATCCTCTCTTAATCTCCGAATTTTGGACAAGGAAGAGCAAGAAGTTTCTCTTTTTGTCTCTCTCTCTCTCTCTCTCCCAAGAAAAACTCCTGATTCAACTCTTAACTCGTTCCTGTTCCGCCTGCGCATAAGCCGTTCTGTGCCAGGAGCAGCTGTTTTTGGCCCACCGTCGGTCAGAGTCAGTGGCTGATAGAAGTAGAAGGGCAGGATAATGGGAAGTGATTCAAAGGCAGGGCGATGCATTATCTGAAAGTATTGACTCTGAACAATGCTCCCCACATTCTCCCCCTACCTTTCCTTCAAGTTTCTTTGCAGTAGCCAAAATAGAACTGGACAAATTACTTGGGAACTGTATATGTTGCAGTGGTTATAAATAGTTTAAGACCTGTCATTAAAATACTTATTTTGGCCGGTGTATGTCTGAAGGTTAAATGCTTCTTAGGAATTAGTTACTTAACCAAACCAACCTTCAGTCACTTTAAACCACCCAATGTAATTGGAAGTGTATTTGTATATTTTGCCGCTAGTTTTAAGAAACCGGTGAGTTTCTTCCACTTCGTATCACTAGTCCTAAACAGCGACTGGAAATGAAGGTTTCCCATCCGTCAACGAGTGGAAGCACCCCAGATCCTCTCCCTTCCTTTCCAGACCTGCGGAAGTGGCCGGTGTGTGCCTCTTGCTGCTCCTCGGCCTCGTCTCTGGGCCAAGAGCTCCGGTCTTCCCTTTCTGGAGCCCTGGCTCCCTCCTGGCTGGCGTGAGGCCTTCCTTCAGAAAGCTGGGGAGAACCTCACTGCTCTTCTGAGGGGCGCTCCCATCCTTAGCGTAGCTTGGCTGTGCTGCGTTTGGGCCGCGCTCTAGCCGTGTGCTCTTTCTCCGCTGGCCCTCCAGCCACATGATCGGAGGGGGCCTTTAGTCCACAGAAAGGACAGCGTGTGTGGCTTGAAGGGGTGGCCATTCATTTCCTCCTCCTCTCCCCTCCCAGTCTCTGTCAGTGGAGAGCGGAGCGCCCTGAATGCAAATTAGCAGCGGTCCAGATAGCTGGATCTGAAATAGCACCAACTCTTGCTGGCAAAGGAGAGGAACTTGCTTTTGTTCTTCCACAGGCCTGGCTGGCGATTCGCCCCAGGGGTCTGTAGCTCTTGTCCTTCAGCCCAAACTGGGTGCTGTGGTACCCATAGGAAATAAAGCAGGGTCTTGGCCCAGTCGATATGCAGGCTGTAACCCTGCAAGATGACACTCCTGGGCTGGTCCTCTGCAGCCCCCCTTCAAGGCTGTTTATGTTTGAAACCAGCAGGGAGCCTTTTCTGCAGTGACTGTATCCGTTTGGGGCTGCGTGGTTTTTCATGGGCCTTTGTGAAGGGGTGGCTTGTTGTGTTCCTCCGTCACGCCAAGCAGCCTAGACTGAAATTGGATGTTAAAGGACATCTGCGTTTGTGCATTGGCTGCAGTTGGTGAACACATTGTGGGAAGTAGCGGGGGGGGAGGGGGGGCATGGCAGCCCGATCCATGGTGTTTGAAGGATTCCTGTAGGATGCAAAAGAAAAGTGGAGCCAAGGGCTTCTGCCTGATGGAGGAGTTGGCTCTGCTTCGCAGTGCCACCTGCTGAGGAGGCACTGCCCCTAGGAAGCCTTTAAAATTGAAAGTGGCTCGATGCCACTTATTTTCTTTGGGGCAAGGCGAGGGCTAGTTGGGGGGGAAAGGCATTGAAGAGCACTGTAGTGCCTCGGTATCTGGGCTCTGTGGTCCTGGCAAGAGGGCAGGTGGCTGGATGAACGCGTACTGTAGGCCCCAGGGAGAGAACTCCCTCGTCTCCTCGATCTGTGAAGCCGGTCTTGGCCCTGCAGGGATTGCTCTGTGCTGGGGTGGAACATTCTGCTTCCTGTGGGCCTCCACCTGTCCTTGGGGGTGGAAGGCTGCAAGCCAACACCCCGGTTCCCCCAAGGAGGAGGGGATGGTGGGGAAGAGGTGGCCTCAGCTTCCCATTCCTCTCTCTGGTTGTTCCTCCAGGAATACAAGCAGAAACTTGCTCGAGTAACTCAGGTCCGCAAAGAGCTCAAGTCCCACATCCAGAGCCTGCCAGATTTGTCGCTGCTGCCCAACGTCACTGGAGGGCTGGCGCCTCTCCCGTCTGCTGGGGACCTTTTCTCAACTGACTAGGACCCGAGGGGGTCTGCATTCCCACCTCCCCCAGTTCCAGCAATAGCAGCAGACCACTTCGTAAGGATGGGCGATTCTCGCGGGAAGCTGACCTTGGAAGCGATGTGCAGAGACCCGCCAGGGACCATCTCCGCTGGGCCTGCTGCCCAGTCTGGTGACTGGGGGGTTGGGACGGGCACGGAAGGGCATCGCTTCTGTTTCGGAGGAAGGCAGAAGGCGTCTTTCTTGATGAAAGTCCACACTGACTTTGCTTCCTGGTGGCACTTCCAGCTGATGCAAATCATGTGTGCCGAGAGCCTCCGAAGAGTTTTGATTCCTGTGTTGCTTTTTTCCCTCCTACAAAAAAGAACTGGATTGTTTGGGGGTTCAGCTCGAGGTGTTTTCAGCCCTGTGACCTGGGATCAGTGGAAGCCATTCCTGCTCCCCCATCTCTTTTGTTTGGGCCTCTCATTCCACAGCATTGAAAATGGAAAGCACTGAAGGTTCAAGTCAGTGGGTTTTAGTAAGGGTTTTTCCTCCCTATCCTTCCCTTAATCTCCAAAGCTGTGAAACTTTGTCAGTTAATTTTCTTTTTGGCCCCGAATCAGTGGGAGGGATGGGGATTGTAAATGGGTACATTCTCTGAAGGGCAGCAAAGTTGCTCCCTTCACATGAACAGAGCCCCACCCGAGGAGGTGCCCGTGGATCTACACCCAGGTTGGACTAACCCCTGCTCATTGGCACTCTGCCCTTCAGGCGCAGCATTGCAGGCTTTGTTCTTAGCAGTGCAAACAAACGTTCACTTTGCACTGATACTGCTGACGGTGTGGGCTTCCCTGCTGTTTTTCGAAAGAAAACCCTAGTTACCAAATCTACTGCTGCTGCGTTTTTGGTGGCCATATGGGACATCCCCCTGCCCCTTTTTTAGAGGAGTTGCCCTTCCCTTTGCTCCCCCCCCGGAATTCCTTTGCTTTCCTCACGTGGAAGGGTTTGGCTTCCTGCTTCGTGCCCAGATCCAGCCACAGGAATCCCCTCTCAGGCTAGCCTCTTGCGGATGGTTTGGGCTGCCAGTCCCAACGTTGCCAGCCCCAGCGTCCCTCACCCTAACCCCGCGCTGGCAGACATGACCCCAGACATCTGGCGGTGCCAGGCGGAGAAGGCTGAGCCTCTAAGTGACGGCCTTTTCTCCTTCACAGACCACAGGCAGTGAGGAACCTCTTCTCATGAGTGTGGGTGTGAGACAAAGTGTGTGTTCAAGTCACAGCAGCACAACTCTGGCCGCCCGTGTATTCCATTTTTTGTTTAATGAAATTGAAATCTGCTTTGCTTTCAGAGGTTGGATTGAGGCAGGACCTGTGATGAGCCGCCTCACGCACTGTGTGGTCTTTCTGCTAAGATCCAGTCCATTTCCTCCCCTGAGGCATTTTCTTAAATCTGTATATGAATCACTCTAGAAATTTAGAGGTATAGGCTGTCATTTTAGCAGCAGTATATTCTGAAATGTCTCATAAATATATTTTTGAATAAAGAGGGTGTCATTCAGTGGGTGCGTTGCTCCTTATTTGTGTGGTAGAGGGCTATTTTCTCCTTGGGCAAAGCAGACCCTGGAGGTGAAATAATACAGGTTTGAATCTAAACGGTGTTTTGTATTTGAAGTTCAGCAACTGGATGCTCTTTGTCTGGAGCATTTCCTCCAGTGTTTTTCAAACTTGGTAACTTTAAGATGCTGGCTAGAAAATTCTGGGGGTTGAAGTCCACACCTCTTAAATTTGCTAGGATTTAGAAACCCCGTCCTAAAAGGTTGACTGATACTCGATGTGGCTCATCTTTCCTCAGCCTCAAAGCCCTGTGCTGCCCATGGTTCAGGGGCCTACCTTGTCCTCTCCCAGGAGCAGATGCACCCACGGCCGCTGCATTGCTGAGATTAGCTTCCTCCCACTGGGTCCAGCAGCATTCCCACCATCCTCAAGTGGAAGAGTGTCCAGTAGCCCTCGGCTGCCATGGGTGGCGAGAGTAAGAATGTCCCCTCTCTCCATCTGGGGCCAAACTGGACAGAAAGGCCAGCCCCATTTCTTAGTGTTTTATACAAAGCTTGGGCGGG